TATTGTTTCTTGAGTAATCCCCCCCTCCACAGATCCCACGACAAAAGAAATGAGATAAGACAAGGATTTCGAATTACAAAATGGATCACAGAAATAAAATTCAACGTTTGCGGAAATCCTTTATGTCTAGGACAGAGAGGCACGTATCAGCCAAACAGCGATAAGAACAATAGGACTTGATATCGAATTCCTCGGAGTAGACCACAACACCTGTTCCGCATGACTGATTTCATAGCAGTGGCAATGTTCACGATGTTTAAGTCTGGCTAGTGGCGTCTTTCGAGCTAAGGTTCGAATCGGGCATGGCCACCCAGCTTTCGTGGTAGGTGAGGCGATGTCACCTGATTCAATACATAAAGTATTCTTTTAGGACCTCGTTCATTGTTCCATTGAACCGCGGAATATATTGTGCCAGTTAATATGAATGAAAAGTAGATTCCAGTCACAATGGGACTGAATCTATTCTTAGTTATCTTTCATCGGTAAGCGACAAAATAAATCGATCTCTGTGAAAACATGCGCGGAAACTCAAACACAAAACGGTGAAAAATAAAACCACGTGTGTCAGTACATACCTCTTTCCCTTGGGGCCACAGTGTAGGTGAGGCGAGCAGAAGCTGGTGCCAGTCTAGCAGAACGAGTAAGCTGACCAATGAATGCCTGTAATCGCACCTCAGTCGGCAGTTCCCCATCCGAATCTCGACTAGTAATCAGTGGCACGAGCGGAGGGTGTGCCAATGGGCACAAAGCGGCCAGTACATGCAAATACATGACCGAGCCATGACAGGTCAGTAGTAAGCCTTCTGTGTTTGAATAAGTGGGTAGAAGTTCTGAGTGGGCTTGCGGAATAAGAGGCAGGCTAACCGGGAGTCTGTGGGCCAGGGCGACTGAACGACCTGAAATAAATTTAGAAAATGACTGTGATGCCTGCGTTTATGATTAAAAGTTTAGATTTAACGACCCAAAAAATATTGTATTGCCAGAAGAACAAATACACAGTGTTAATTAGTTCAACAAAAAGGAAGAAAGCATGACGCCTATTTCGATCCCCATTACCTCGGTATATACAGTGTGGCAGTAATCATCTGGTTTAAGGTTTGGTAGTGGCTGTATCGATCTGAAAGCTGCCCCCGGCTCAACTGATCGCTCTAAACTAGTGCGGCCTTTTCCTGATAGGTATTCCCGAGAAGTTTATTTTGCGACCTATTTATACTAATATCCGAAGGGCTGCCCGAGTTTACGGCACTCGTTGCTACAGCAGAAAGCGGTTTTCTTCAGGGTTGCACTCTCTACCGTTTTCTATTCAACTTTGTAATGGATCCGATTCTGGAAACAGTTCTATCCTCGTGCGAAGGCAGCATCATCGATTTGATCCCAGGTGGTTTTGATTTGAATATAAAGACTACATCGTAAGGTGAATTACAATCTTTTCTGATGGTTAGTTTGATTGTGCATCCATATTCGGGAGGCACTTTTTCCCAAGTGTAAAATGTTGTAACGAGACTAGGTTGGCCCGGCTCTAAACCTCACGATAACTGACAAAAAGATAGGCAAGAACACAAGTTTTGTTATTTGAGCAGCTTTATCTTACCTGGCGGACGCATCATAGATGAAGTGCCCAAACACATACAGAAGATTATTGGCACTTGCGCCGTGGCGACATGCAGCTATCCGTGAAGGGTCGGCTGAGTGCTGCAGTGGTTCAGCCACTGCTGCTTCACAATTACAGGAACAGAATGGAGACATATTGTAGGTACATGAACACAGCTGTCTAAGCAGCATCGCAAGTATCGGGTGAGGAAACCGGACAAGCAATGCAGAAGTTATGGGTAGGGTTACTTGTGACCGTGGTCGTTCATTGGGGCAAGTCGTCGAGCCCCAGAGAACACGTTGGTTGGAGTGTTACGCAGGTCGCCAAATAGATGGTCACGGCGTGGGATGTTTGCCGAAGCAGGTGGTTGGTGGAAAAATGTCAAGGGCGGTCAAACCAAAACCTGGCATGATGGTGTGGAGACTCTGACCGGGAGATCAGCACACACGTCACGATAGACATCCTGGATGAAGATCTTAGGATCAGCGTAAAGGATGGTTAAAGACACTGAGTGATATGGGCGAGCGTTGCAAACAGTGGCGCCCGTGTACCTGTTCTTGCAAATTTAGTCTTCATGAATACCCTATCTTCACCTTAGCAATACTTGCAACATTGCAATCTTCACTTTACTTCTTCACTCACAGGGGCAACCGAGAAACGACAACTAAATGCGCCGTGCGAGGGTGCATGGTCGATGGTCGTAAAAACAGGAGTCGAATGCTCTTACGTTGTCATCAATGGACGAATCAGTAGGCCACGCAGACATACTGTTAACGGGCCACGGCAAAACAGATAAAACAGGTGATTATAAAAATGGTGATTCGCAGATAGTTCAATCAACGGTAAAGGGTGAAGTTGGATAGTTTTAACAAGGAAAGATAGCTACTTGAGAAATATTGAATAACATAGTGGCTTCTTTGAAGTTGATCGGTAGCCATCCGGCAAAGCTGAGGAGATCATCAATAAACTATACTGACGATTTGCATGACGGGAAAAACTAGGTCAAGTGATCTCATATGATGGTCCTCAACTTCGTTACACCGAATTTCAGCAATTTAGTGATCAGTGGCGCTTGAAATAGCCAGCCGCTAAAACAGTCAATCCAATAACACAGCAGGAAGGGTAGTCAACTAGGCAAAAAAGATTAGCAATAAATGATGCGCGGATGGCAGTAACCCGTTTATTACTTTGCTCGAGTTACGAGTTTCTGCCGACCGTCATGGGGACCAACCAAAACCGTCTGTTTTTCAAACGCACATGTTCTGTCCATATGGGTTGCGTTATTACATCAAAAATCGATGAGTCAATGCTGATAAGGCGCATATTGATGCAGATGAGGTATGAAAACCGCAGAGGTAAGTAGCCCAGTGTACTTAAACCAGATGACGTGGTGAGTGGATGCAACTGCTGGCGTCAATGGAGAAGGCGCAAATGAAGGGAGAAGTGATGTAGCACTCAACCACGCTGTGACCAACGCTGAAGACGGAGAAACAGAAAATACTTAGGGAAAATAGATGGTGAGGTAAGGAAACGGAAAAGGAGGTTGCGATGAACGTACCTGAACCACTAACGAAAACGCGGATGAAGTGTATCGCCGAGTAATCCACCATCACAAACACGAAGTGGTTAAAAATAATATCAGGAATCTTAGGGAAATTGTGTTACTAAATCAGTCATTTTACGATCGATTCATGCGATAATTTCGTTCAGTCAATAGAGCAAACTGATTGGTGCAGGTTATTTTGTAAAATACTTGTCTCGCTCTTGAAGAGAAGACTTTTAACGACAGATAGCAGAACTAGCAACAGAGTGAATCCATGAAAGGACAGGCTTACCGCTTAGAACAAATTGCGCAAGACAAGTGGAAGCTCGGTTTCCAACATCAGCTAACGTCACTCGATACGCTGCAATTGCATAACGCAAAAAACCTGCACGAGAACAAAGAAACAAAAGTACTATTCGACAGAGCTCACATAAAAACAGGCTGATTTATCTTGCACAACTGGTAGAGTAAACGTTACTTTCCACTGAAAAAGCTGAACACTTATAGCGCAATGAGATGTTGAGTGAAGAGCAAATATCAAATTCCTAAATCCGGAAATTTTCGTGTGGTGATGGGCTTAGTTAGACCCTAGGTTTTGCAATCTCCATTTGCCACCTTAACAGTTTGCAAGTACAACAACCAAGAAGAAATTCACGCAGAAAATTTGCATTTATCATGTTCGGACGCATCAGTAGTGCGTAACACGGTCTCTAGGTCCTTGATAGGAACCGAACAACAAACCTTCGTGTTAGGTGAATCATAGGACATCGCTATGAGATTTAAACAGAAGACTTTAGCTAGTTTCGCTACATTCGACTCCGGCAATAAACAGTAAATCTGGATGATAGCACGTGCCGACAAGATTCTCGAGAACTACATAAGGTAAGCACTTACCACAGTCAAACGCAAACGCGCGTCCGCACTATGAAAACAGTCGACGGAATTTCCGCTTCATTCCGGTGTCTCCGGCAGTCTCCGGTCATCAATCCTAATTAACTACGACACAGACTGGATAATGTGTAGTGCTCCTACCGAATATTGAGGAATTCAAGTTATTCACGAGACTCGGAACGCCGAAATCGAAGTTACTAACGCCATTGTTATTGCAGGAGGGGATCCCAGCAGTTCAAAGTTGGTACTTGGCCGTATCGAATATGAAGCTAAGGTGGTCGGCCTGGAGATAAACACAGTGAAATGAATTTCTACTCAATGTCCCCGGACCCGTCACACCCCATCTCAATAAAAAAGTAAAAACCTTAGAAAAACTGAGCCACTGAAAGTAGTGAGAATACACCATACAGGAAAACAGTCAGGCAAAGACTAGGATAAGCCTCGCATTGACTGCCCCAGGCATTCTTATAGCCTCGTAGGTGCGCAGCAAAATAAGCCTTCACGCAAAACTGTGCGTCTTTCGAGTTGTCGTTCAGTCCGTCTTTACATACACTTACGAAATGTGGCCACTGAGAGTGGATGACAAAACACCTGGAAGGTTTCCATCACTGATTCATTCAATACATAGCTAAAATTCAGTGGAACGACCGCATTTCAAACGGTGCAGTCCATCAATATTGTGAGATGGAGAAGCGAGCACTGTATCCCAAACTACGCTGTCTTCAGTAGTTCTATCAAGTCCTTCTACGGACAATCAGCGTGCTTCCGGTTGGATCCAAAGTAAAGTATTAACGGCATGTTGGGGGATTCGCCAGCGGCTCTGCCTCGAGGAAGTTACTTCCCAGATGGAAAGGTTCATACCGCACAGTTGAAGAACGCCATCCTGTGTACGAAATACAATGGAACGATCTCGCAATATGGCACGAGAAAATCTACAACACGAAAGAAACTGCAGAATGCTATTACACAAAGTCAAGAACGACGCTGCCCGACGTTGAAAACCGGAGACAAACGCGATCAAAATAAAAAAGCGAACGTTTATTGGTCGGGCCATGCATAGATCCTTTTCGCCGGAGGAGTAATGTTGTGAGGTACTGCTCACATTTATGAGTAGTATGCAAAGTAGTGCGCTTGACCGTTTCCTTCAACGATCAAAAATTAACAAGACCACTGAGGGCAAGTTGCTGTCTCAAAGAATAACTCCGGATTGCACCATTTATTATCCGGTATGCTTCCGGGAATCGCAACGACATGTTTCAAATCAGACATTTCATGTCTGCCAAATTATTGGTATACCAACTGCACTACTACAATAAACAAATTCCCTCGACCGAGCACCACCTTGTGGAATTACAACAATAGGCGTAAAAAATCTCAAGTATAACTCACAAGATACATTGTTTTGCATTCACAAGTGAACTCTGCTTATCAGAAGGGGATATATAAACGTGCTGCGGATAATAAACCGCTCGTAAAAGTACACCCTAATAACTATCATCAGTTTATTAACGCTGCAACATATGTCGAGGCTTAATTATTACTGGTTTTGTCTATAGCTTCTGAGGAAACGGTGTTGTAAAGGTCTTTTGTGAACAATGTTTATTATTTTCGACCTGTAAATGTATTCACATTTCAAGAACAGATTTCCATTCAAGTGGGTATACGAACCAGTAAGCATATACCTTTTGATTTATTTCAGGACTTGTGAATGCAAAAGAATGTATCGTCTGGGTTACACTTAACATTTTTACTCCTAGGAGTATCGCGTGTTATACAGAAACACTGAAGCTGTACGAGATATGTCAAATGATTTGACGATTAAGGCACATCGGTTAAACCTTCTACAATCAACATGTGTTGGAGCATACAACCACCACACCTTATTTCTTAACCAGGCAACATCAACATTTGTATAAAATTATTTTCTCCAACATCCGTTGACTTCAGAATATTCCGATACTTTTTGATCTGATTCGCTTGCTGCGGCGTGACTTAAGTTTGTGCGTCGAGGCTAAAGGACTACGGGTCTTGGTTAAAGCATTGAGGGTTTTGGCTAAAACTTAATGGGAAAAGGTGGAGAACGAGAAAAGAAACCCATAATATTGCCTAATAGACCAGCTTAAGAGGTGGGTTAATAAATCCTAATCAGATTAGGATGGATGACCTCCAGTGGTTGTTGTTGCTGTTGTTTTTGAGTGCTGGACTGACGCATTAAATGGATTTCACGGTATGCCGAACTTGCCGTGGATTACAATGCATCACCAGCGGTTATCAGTAACATTGAGAAGGCTAAATAATACCCACAACAGAGCTAGTCGGATAAAAATAAGAAGCACAAAATGGAAAGAGAGGGACGTACCAGAATCAGCGGATTTGGGTGTCACCCATTTAATCCCTAGAGTTTTGGAGAATCCCGAGTTGGGACGTTGTAGGGAACTGATCTTTTCCGCGTCTTCGTCCGTACGAATCAGAAGCTGATCTGCGAGACTAACTCGTTGCAAAAGATCGTGCGCTTCGGCTTGATGAATCAGCTCCACACCGTACATCGCGCTGCTAGCATTCGTATTGGCCTCTTCCTTCATGGGGATATCTTGAACCAGCGTACTGGCTAGATTATAATGTGTTTCCACCAATCGCATCAAGCCACGATACAGATCAAAACTTTTCGTGGGCAAGCGATGATAAAGGAAACGATGTGGTACGGGGTTTCTGTCTGAGGGTAACTGTCCGCAGGAACAAGATTTAACGGAAACCAGGAGATTACATGGATTCAGTATCTTACTAAATGAACTAATGCACACCGCAGGAGAAAAACTAAGGGTGACGACAATGGTGGTGGGTGTCGGGAAAAAAGATTGGCTAACCAAAACGATGGTGAACTTCACTGATTCACCGCTGACGAGGGAAATTCGAAGACCAGACTGTGTATTGAATCAATTCCAGAGAACCTTATTACACCCGTCCAAATAGTCACTTAATAATAACACTTTGTAGAGAAACTTAAGTAGCCTACACTGTCTATATCAAGAGGTTGTAAAACATGCACACTGTTCACTTGACATGTGCAGGTTTTAGGCAGACAAACACATAAACCAGTAATCAGTCCTCGAGAGCTTCGAAATTTAAATTTGATGTAGAAATAACACTAAATATTTGCTTTATTAGCGACAATGACGTTCGTATGTAACCAAAGACAATAATGACAAGGGTGAGTTAAATACTCTAGCCAAGGCGATTTTGCTCTTTTTGCGTTCAACACCTGTGCCAGTTGGCCGGGTGGAAAACAAGCTATCATAACTAGGGCCTCTTGCATTTTATAACGGATGTATTTTGCACCTTCAGAAGATCATCTGGTCAACGAATTACATCACAATTTCTAAACCAAAATTAATTCTCACTGTTTTATCGTGTGATGGGCAATTCAGCTAATGACATCCAGGTAGCATTAAGTATCCCAATTGAGACTGTGATAAACAATTTACAACAGTTGTGATTGCATGTGAGGATTCAACAGAAAATTGGGTCGCGCTGTGCTAAAGATCCATCTTCCCGTAAACGTAACCCATCACTGACTTAACCCGAATAAAGGTATTTCTCTGATTTAAATTCACGACGTGATCTGAAGCCGAGAAAAAAAGTTGTTCAGTAGATTTTCGCAAGCCATAGCTACCAGTTGTATTACAACTTGTACTCTTATCATCCCCGTCTACTCCGGGTTTTGATAATTCGATGTCAAATCAACTTCTAAAACAATTTCCTCTGTTGTGTTTTTGGTTCCCATGGTTCTTATGCCTAGAAATATACTTCTTATAAGAGGTTTTGTTTGTTATTGTGTAACTTGCCGCGATATGTAGCAGAGTACTGTAACAGTTTGATTAAAAGAGTGTGAGGGCTGAGCGAAGACTGAAATTATTGGTCCACAAATAATGAGACAGAAAACATGTCGATATTTTCAGGTACAAAATACAAAAAAGCTTATTATAGGTAAAACAGAGAAAAATGAACTGACAAAACCCCGAATTACCCCAAACTCGTACAGCCAAATCAATTAGAGAACTTAAGATAGGGGTTACAAACTGATTTAAAAATTGTCACAAAGTAAACAATGAAGAATGAAATGTCTTTCTTACCTGTGGAATTTTGGAAATAAAACATTGAAAGTAGTCGAACTAGTTTGTGAACTTTTAGCTACAACAAACAAAAGCACCAGGCATCACCAATATGTTTTTATTTACTTATATTCTTCTTCCTTCGCGCCGAGAAAAACGAACTGCATCGATCATCGTGATGCCCAGTTGATTTAGATGACTTTGTTTACAAGAGATGAAAATATTGCACAGCGAGTACCGCCGAAATGGCCGGAAAATGACTCACATCAATCACTTGCGGACTGGTTTCAACATGGTCAATGGGTTCCTCGCCGGAGACAAGATCAATAAATAACCATTCGCTTTCTGTGACTTTTCGATACCTTCAAATGACGGGAAAAGAGTACATAAACACAATGAACACGGTGATATAACTATACACAATATGTACGACGAAACTTGTAGTAACGTGATTCAAAAGGGAATCGATATTCAAACACTCATAGTATTTCACCTCGAACAGCATGCTCCGAACGTTGACTTTTTTTAGCTAGCTCACATCCGACCTTTTGAGGAACAAGAATTTGAAAACGATCCTCACAAACCGACAAGTGCAACAAAGGGTCGTACAGATTTAGAGAGATCGGTGTTTTCTTTTCAATATTTAACAAATAATGAAGGCATTTCAGTGACTCGACCTCTGACAGACAACTCAAGTAGACTACTCTGCATATTCAGCTGTGCCCGTATGATAACCGATAACCGACGAAACTGCACGTTGACGTTGTGAGATGGCTTGCGTGCCTCCGTGATCCTGCAAGCTATACGGGATGCCTTTTCATAGCCGCAGATCCAATCATGCCTGAAAGGTCAATAGGTA